TGGCGCCTATGCTGGAGGTGGCTCTCACCCTGGTAAGGCCCTTGGCCTTTCTCTAGGCCCGGGAGCGAGGGGCTGGTGGCGGTGGGGTGTCGTCTCCAGGCCCTAGCAGAGCTCGAGGGTTGCGGCCGGGGCGAGGAAGGGCTGGTGCTGAGGGGACTTGGGGCGCTGGGGTAGATCTGCCAGCCCTGTGCTAACGGCAGCCAAATCTTTGGGGTGAGCAGAGTGTTTCTGGAGTTGAAAACCCCCCGAGGCCCATCTGCTGTACAGCTTTCTGCTGGGGAAGCAGCAGAAAACTACAGAGCCACATAGTTTTCTCTAATTTCTTTTTCAGTGCGGAAACATTGCTGTTTATATTGGTGTCATTATCCCCGAATAACTCCCATAGGCAATGTCCTTATTCTACAGCAAAAAGACCCTTTCCCAGCTTACCTTTAAGGCACTTCAAAGCAATATCAGCTAATTGGTAAAGAGCATGCTTGTCTCCAAGTAAGAGTGTATAGATGTGTATAAGTATGTATTTCTTAATTCATTGGTGTACTTTCCCCATTTATGGAAGCTATTAGCCTAAATAGGGAAAAAAATGAAGCCTCTTCATAGTACAGGTCTGGCTTCAGTTTTAAATCTCACTTGGTGTATTGCAAACTCACTGTTGGTTAGTTACCATGGGATAGCCAGGGACAGCCAAGCATTCCCTGTTATGATATCCCCTACCTTGCCTGCTGCTGTGGAAGAGCAGTAAGTCACTGTGGGATAATCTGTTTTTCTCCCTGTCATCACATAGGCAGGATGAGAACAATGTCAGGACTATAGGGCCAGTACTTTCCAGTCTCAGCCCCCTGGTCATGAAAATCAGGAGCCATCTTGCATTGGGCCATAGCTTCTTTCTGCCTGGCATTTGGGGACAGTCCCTTTGTCAAAACTAGAAGACGGAGGGAGCAAAACATGCTTGGATTTTATTGTAATAGGGAGTCAGAGTGGCCTGGTACAAATCTGGAGGTAAAGAAGTGCTTTGGGACCTTCATGGTAGATGTAGCTGCCACTAAAGTGAGATCTGGTGTGATTTGAGCTCAGGAGTTTTCTGTCCATTTAAAGATTTGTCATTATTGACAGGAAAAAATCCACTGCTTTTTGATACCTGTAAAAATAACTAATTTCTAGTTCTTCTAGACTTCTTGGCTGAAGTGTTCCCCTCAGTTTAATAGATTGCTTCACTAAAAAAAAATTTGTAAATAAATTCCAGTTTTCTCCAGTTGAGATGATGCCATGGGAACATGTGAAGCCTGGATATGATGAAATGCATCCAGAGGCATAGAACAGGGGCTGAGCATGAGCCCTGGCCATTTAGGTTTGCCATACTGCTGTGGAGCACGGAAAATTTGTCAATCTTTTAAGTATATTTATACCAGTATAACAGCGTAGGAGTAACACAAAATTGTGTGCTGCTAGTGTCATCATTTTCTGCGTACAGTTTTCCTCACGTTGCTGCTTGGGAAAATGTAATAATACTGTTTGCAATTGCTTTAACGTAGGCAGAGCTTTGACTTTACCTTTTTGAACCACGGTAATTCGTTTTTCCTCTGGGAGTAAGTGGAAGTTGCTAGTGAGGTACAGAATAACATATATAATATATTTAAAGTATGTGTAGGGTTTGTCTTTAAATTGGGATTAGATGTCTTTCTACAGGGTCAGTGGCAGTGAATTTTCCTGAACTTAAGGCCTTCAGTGTAGTTCTCTGGGGTAGCTCTTGCTACAGGACCAGATTATTAGGAAATAAATCCTGTTTCTTGCAACATCTGAAATGTCTTGCCACATCTACAGTAAGCAAATCATTACAGAACCAAAGAAATAGCATTGTCTTACGTATTTGCTCTTGGGGTTTTGATACAAAAAGTTAAAGATCGGAAACCCCTCGCATTTCCCACATTAATTAGGACTTGATAAGATGTATTGTGGTTTACAGTCACATTTGATGTCTCCTGTGCTACTTGGCAGCTTTAAAACACAGTGTTTGTCAAGAGCCCAAGACCTTTTGCTCTTTTTTTTTTTTGTTTAAACAAAGGCAAAGGTGTCAATAAATGCTGGCATGGCAGCTATGAAAATTGGATTTTATTGTTGTAGTGTTAAAAAGGAGGGTGCTCACGCCTATTCTGTACAATATAACACATGGTTACTGAATAAATCAGCAAGATTAGTATGGTTGAAACTCGATGTTTGTAGCCAAGTGCCTGTTTCTAAAGGATTTTGAAGCTTTGGCAGGTTTTGATGGGATCTGTTTCTCTTCCAGTTCAATTACTGCTGGTTCTTGGTCAAGCCTGTGGACTGGTCATACGTGTGAGGGTTTTCTAGAACGAGCCCCACAAGTTTCACCTCCTCTTCTCTGACCTGAGTTATCCCACAACATCAAATGGGAGCAATGTTCTCCAGATTTAATCTGAACGTAGAGGGTATGCTTTCAAACACGCTTGTCCATGTGGTAACTTCTGAAAATTGTGAGCGGTGCTTTAGCAGCAGCTTAGGTACAAGTAATCAACAAAATTAGCTTTTATTAAACACGCAGCAGTGCTTGAAGGTCTGTAGCTCTGGAGGAGAGAGCAGAAGCGCCTGCATTTAATTTGCACTTTGGCTTGACGGTTTGAAATCCCTTTCAAAAAGGGAGTCATTAAAGAAAAAGTGAATTAAGTTTCACATGGGTTTTTTTGTGCCTTTGAATTTCTCAGCTAATTGATGTGGTTTTGCAACCACATCTTCTCAAAAAAAAAAACAAAACAAGCAGCACTTCCCCCTCCATTTGCATGGCTGGCTCCCCTACCACCTGGAACAGCCGCTCCGATGGCTGTAGGTTACAGCCTTTCTCCTCCCAGGGCTCTTCTAAACCCCTCTGCCACCCGCCTTTGGTGGCTGCAGCGGATCAGAGGGCAGGCCGCTTTTGATTTTTCAGGGGTGATAGGCACCGTGTGGAAGCAAGAGACAATTTGTCCCCTGTTGGTTTGCCCTTGCCAGATCTGGACATGACTAAAAATACCAGGGGCTAATCAATGCTAAGGCTACCTGTGGAGACAGTGCCACGGTTAGAGAGTGTTTGGAAATTGCAGGTGGAAACAGCTTTCATTCCAAAAAGATTTTTTTTTTCCTTCTTTTTTTTTTAACGGAAGCAGTTTTCAATTACCACTTAGGGAACTGAGAACTTAAAAATCATACTCCTTTTTTTTTTTTTTTTAAGACCATTTTCTTTACACAACAAAAATTGATTTAGAACCAAGGTTTTTAATTTTTTAATTGATGGACTTTTTTTTTTATTATTAATTTTAACGTCTGGGCTTCTGGCTTTAATGTCAAGCTTTCAAGCAAGTAACAATTGAAGCCGTAGTCCTAAGCCCTCAAAATGGGTTTGTAATTGAAACAGCAGTTGGCCCTCAGCTGTAGCAGGGCTACATGGCTTTTTTTTTTTTATGACATAAATCCATGTCATCCCTTGTAGAGGAGGGATTATTCACATGGCTTTTTTTGTTTGTTTGTTTATGCAGTCTAATACTATAATTATTGATAAAAATGAGATTGATTTGATTTACAGGATGCGACAAGTCAGCATCAGATATATTTTTGGACTCCATTTTAATATAGCTATTGAGGTTTTTTTGATGCATGCTCTCTAGGGACTGCAAAGGAAAATTCTAGCTGCTTTCTCCACTTCTGTCTTTCAGGGCTGTGTATTAAGCTGACCTGATATCCTCAGTTATAAGGAGAAACATCATGTATATGTTAGGTTTCTTTTCAAAGCAAGACAGACTCAGCAGGAGGAATTCAGATGCAGCATAAAGCGGAAAGAACAGCGGTGTGCACATGCTGAAACTGCACTTATAAAATTACGTAAAATTTTACACTTGTGTAACGCAAAAGTTGTGTAAATTGTATGCAAATAAATTGTATGCCTATGTTTAAGTATTTACATACAGGTGTTAAATAAGGAGGAGCTGCCTGGTCTGACCGCGTCTATAACAGAGATGAGAATTTATGCCAATAGTTCATTCAGCAAGCCCTGATCTTGTGGCTGAGCTGGAGAGCATTTTTAGAAAAGTTTTCAGGTTTGATTGAAAGATTTTAAAGAGTGGAGAATCCACCCACATTGTTTGATAAGTTGCCTCAGTGGCTAGTTACCCTTGCAGGTGAACTCTCAAAGAAAAAGAATTTTATTGCAAAACCTTTTTGTAACGGAGTGGGCTGAAAAAATGGTAAATGGGACAAACTTTTTCTGCCTCACATTTACCTTTCGCTCAAGCTTTATTTGTTAATTAAGGTAAAAAATGCTTCCACTTTAGCGTAGAAATGTTTCATCAGAAGTAAAATCAACAAGCTCTTTTTGAAATGACAGTACTGTCACACATCCACATGGTGAATTTCTAATGGCTCTCTGTCAAATGAACACTAACAGAAAATAGCCACAAATGGCAATAGGTAAGACCTAGACTCCTCTCCCAGGCAGCGTTGCTGAAGCTCTTTACTAGTCCTGTCATTCAAATTTATGCTAGGCTTTGACTGAGATAACTTCTTGTTCTTTTGCTCCATTTGGTTAATGTTTTCCATCATTTTCCAAATGTTCAATTTGGTTTCTCTGTTCTAGTTAAATTGGCTGAACTCTGCATGTGAGTGCAGACATGGATTATATATATAAAAATATATATACGTTTAAAGAAGCAATTGGTAAAGGTATTGTAATGCTTCAATTGCCGTTTTGTTTGTATGACAGACATGAGATTTCCTTAGTTCTGTGGGGTTTTTTCTTTTTTTTCCTGGGCTTAATTGTTCCAATCACTTTTTCAGATTGACTCTTGGTGCAAAGAGAATAGCTACGTGATAGCTGGATATTACCAGGCAAATGAACGCGTGAAAGATGCCAGGTGTGTTGGTGCAATATTTCCTTCTGTTTGCTCTTTTATGTTGTACTTTGTACTCTGCCAACAAAAATCATCGACATAAATCGTGCGTGTTGATTAACTTTGACAACTGTCATCTGGTTTCACATTGTCTTCGTGGTGCTGGTGGATATGGCCTTTGTTCAGGTGCAGAAACCCCAGTCTTTCCAGAATCACTCCTCTTTAGTGGATACTATAAAAGGCCAGTCTTTGAACGGCTGCCAACCAGTTTAATTACAGTTGTCAGGGAAATAGCCAAAATTTGCAGGCGCGTTTGCTTGTGCAGTGCATATCTTGTAAACTCAAAAGACTCCGAGTATCTTTCGGAAAGTCTTTCAGAAGTGACCTAATTCTTACTAAACTACTTGATTGTCTCTGAGTTTTATGGAAGCATTTTCTTACGTGGTAAAGGAACACTTTTGAAATGGAAGATGATGTCAGTCAAGCAGAGATCTATTTTTTTCACTTATTTTCCTCAGGATTAGTAATTTTTTTCCCTGCTAGCTAACTCGAATTACTCAATAAGCAATAAGGGAGCCTTCCTGTGGAGCCACAATATAGGTTTAGATATGTGTATCAAGTAATTTCCCCATATCTATTAGATAAATCCAGTATCAGAACTAATGAGAGTACATCATACTTGCATTTAAAATAAATATGAACAGCTTGTTTAAAATATTATGCTGTGTCCCAGTCATTTTGTTCATGTATATCCTTCAGTCTCAAGCATGTTTTTTAAGTAATACTTGTGACTGCTAAGGTGTCTAACGGGGATAAGGGCATTATTTGTCCTTTCCTTAAAAGGGAAATAAATCTGCTGGAGACATTTTTAAGGAGAAGATACAGTTTGTCTGTTCCATTTGAGGTTTGAAAGAATATCACAGGCCTTTTTTTTTTTTTTTTTTAAACTCCAGTTTCATTTATGAAGATAACTGGCACCACGTAGAGATTGTCATCTTTGAAATGTGGTAAAGGTTTTTCTTTAAAAGGTTATCTGATTTTGGTAGAGAAGCTGGGCAGTGAGTGGGTTGAAATGCAGACTGGGGAGCAAACTCAGTTTCTTTTTTAAATGCCTGCCAGGGCAAAGGTGGCTGTGGTCTTTGGTTTGGTGGAAGAAGGTAGGAGGCCACAAAACATTGATTCCATATAAAGTCTGCAGTGAGTGTTTCGCTGTTTGAAAACCCATTGCCTAAGCATAGCTAAGATCCAGATCATGAGCTGAAGAGTGGAGCTGGGGTTTTCTCTTGGCCTTCTGACTTCAATCAAATGTAGCATCAGCTTGATAATCTTGTTCCTGTTTGTAAGCACGCAGTGTAATTTTCGCATCTCTTTAAGCGTATTTCCTGCTGGTTTCAGCTGAAATGTCATGGTTCAAATAACGCAGTTACTTTTACCTTCTGCTGCAGTCCAAACCAGGTTGCGGAAAAGGTGGCCTCCAGAATTGCAGAGGGCTTTAACGATACAGCGCTCATAATGGTAAACTATTTCATTTAACCCCCCTTTCTGTTTTGTTAATGTTATGACTTTGGTGTTGGACTAACCGTTTAAATGCCATTCTCTGCATCCGTTGATAGTGAAGTAACTAAGTTTCTCTTCCCCTCCGAATACTCTGGGGAAGAGACGCAATGACCTGTAGCCTCTGTAGTAAACCTACAGAGAGACTGTGGTTAGCTCTCTGCCATCTCAAAGGAAGCAGAGGCCTTCTCTGCTTGTGAGGCTTGAGCGAAGGCAGTGTATCTCTGAGTTTTGACCCCCTTCTGTGACTTAGACTCTTGTCTTATGTGAAGCAAGTGATGCTTTGCCTCCTTGCTGCAGTGACAAAGGATGCTGGCAGTTTAAACATATAAAATTTGGCTCCTTTGAAGGTAGGACAATGGACAAGTTAGTTTAAGGTGCCCTGTTTGTGAGAACTGACCTTTTTTTTTTTTTTTTATTTCATCTCTTTACTTGGGTTCTTGAGGAGGAGACTAAGGTGGTGTTTTTCTGTTGCACAATAGGTTGATAACACCAAGTTTACGACGGAGTGCGTAGAGCCTGCCATTCACGTGTATGAGCTTCATGAGAACAAGTGGAGGTGCAAGGACCCACACGTGTGAGTAAACTTCAGAGTTTATTTGTGTTCGGGTAGTAAGGAAAAACGTGTTGCCTGGTTAAGGGCAAAACTTTGATTGTGATTGAGTGCCAGTGTTAAGGGCGGTGGGTGTACCTGTCAGTGCTTTTAATGCTATTTTTTGCTGTAGTGAGAGAGAACAGCCGGCTTCTGTGGCCAGGCAGTGGTATACGAGCGCCATGACCACATTGCTGAGAGTGTGGTTTAATTTCCAGAGTAGAGGAGGTGGTGGAGATTTTCTTTGTGATTACTTCTAATTCCTGGTTATTTTACGTCCTAGTGATTTTTGTGAAGATTGGACCGAAGCCCAGAGAATCGCTGCATCTCTCTTGGACAGCAAGTCCTACGAGACGCTTGTAGATTTTGATAATCACCTGGATGATATCCGGAACGACTGGACAAACCCAGAGATCAACAAAGCTGTCCTTCACCTGTGTTAGAGGGGTTTCTACTGACTAATTTATGGGCATTCCCACTAGGAACTGAAGAGAGAAAAATGCTATTTTTGAATGTAAATAGAATAATATTCAGTACTTTGTGTGGAAACCCGACTGATTAAAAAGGAGTGGCATGTCACATTGCAGAGTGATGTGTCCATAAGCCATCTTTTTTGTGAGATTCCTTGGAAGAACTGCAAACTGTCAGTTACAGCTGTCCTCGTGGATGCCATCCCAGTTGTAGTGAATGTTGCGATTCCTTCAAAACCAGAACTACTTCTGCTTGTCCCTACTGTTCGTATTGCAAAGTTTTGACTAAGCTTTTCTAATCTTTAGAAAGATTACTTTTTAACAATTATGGAAATACCTTTAAAAAAAAAAAATCAGTCTTGTCCTCAGATGAGCAATTTTAAGGTCAAATACATAAAATGTAAGGTTAACTCTTTCTTTTGGCCTGGTTTGGAAATGTCATTCTGTCGGCACAGTAAAATGTGAACTGCTGAGGATGATGCTCATGTGTCACTTGTTTTGCAGTGGTTTATCATGACACAGCCACAGGGAACGTGTTAAAGCAGTATTCCCAAATGCTACGGTGATTTCTCCTCCCTGTGCCTATACAACCACAGTTACTGCTTGAATATGTTAAACCCAAGGTAAAACCAAATTCATGTAATGATTTGTAAAAAGGACTGGAAGCACACTAATGAGTTTGAATGAAAGTTCTAAAATAGGTTTGAGTGTACAAAAGAAGAGGAGAGTGAAATACCTTATTAATTTTATGCAGTCTTTTTGGATTTTATAAACAGAACTCCTTTTCAACTGAGTGTCCATTTAAGTAGGTCTAAAACGTGTCCTTCCAAGGTGAAGGCAAGCAATCTGAGTACATTGAATCAAGGAGCCTAGATACAGTCTAGTTCTGCTTCTGTCTGTCTGTCTAATTAACAGATTTTTCTAAGAATAAGTTTATTGGGCAATGAAGCTTTATATCAGACTACTACATTTCTTTGTGAGTCTTGTTGCCTTACTCCTCATGGTTGTTTGTCAAACTGTAGTTAAACATAACCTCAACTTGCAATGGTTTCCCTAGATTTCCTTCTCTTCCTACCCAAAAATGGTTTTACAAGGAAGATCCAAACGTCCACCAAATGATCAGCCTCTCTCCAAGTTGCTGCTTTTTCCTTAGTGTTCTTATGTTAAAACATGAGGAGTGGGATTGTCAAAACCTCTTGGTGTACCTCTGCTTCTGTTTAAATAAGCACAATTTTTCCTCTTGGTCTCAGTGAGAGATGGGATAAGGCTAAAATCCCATTCTGAAGCAGTGAATAGGACCGGGATGCCTCCAGTCGGGTTCCACTGTGGAGTTCCCTGCAGCCACAAAGCCACAAGGCAAGGTCTGAGGTTCAGCTCCCTGTCCAAGGAGAAGATAAAGACTCAACGGTTCAGTTTGTCTCCCTGCTGTGCAGTAGTAGGTGTGATGGGCGTTACAAAAGGGATTGGCACTTACTCAATAGCCTTTCCTAAACATGAGTCACATACACTTGGTAGTCACACGTGTTTAGTTTCCTAAACATGAGTCACATACACTTGCAGGAAAGGAAAATGTTTTCACTTGTTCAACGAAAACATGTATCTAGCTCACAAGCGGCAAGATAAACACGTTCCAGTGCCTGATACTACACATCCACGGCTGTATGAAAAGATACCCTGGAAACGGCGATGCTCTGGCAACGTGTGTTCGGAGTAGGCTCTGCAAATCGTACACGCTGCAGGAAGAGGATTGTTGTGCTTTGTACAATCACCTCGTGAAATCTAACCTATTGTTCCAGAGGCAGATGTTATCTTTGCAAGACATGTTACGTTAGTTATGTGAGATTGTCAGCCAGCGCTGCCCCGTAAGCTGGTATGTCTCCTGAGCCACAGGAAATGTATTTCTTATTCTTTGTAACTAGTTGTCATAATCAAGCTTTGATCGTATATATGCTAACACAATCTAATCTCTCCTTGCATGTACTCTCCCCTCACCATCATAAGACAAAGCAAAAGGTATATTATCAGTCCGCAACCCGGTGGAAACACTCCCAGTGACTAACCATTGAGACAGGTTGCTGGAACAGGAGCAGCTTTTAATGCCTTGTCTTTCCCTCCTTTTTTTTTTTAATCTTCTGTTTGCTTTTAAATGACGTCTTTTGAGTGTTTTGCCACCAGGAGAAGCCCAGGCTGGCTTTAAGCAAAAAGGACGAGCACCGCAGTGCTCAGATCTTATCTCACCTGTCCTATTTGCGTTGAAGGCTGGACAAAAGGCAGCAATTTCATAAAGCGAGGCAGGCTGCAGCCACGGGTGGCTCTTGTGAAAGAATGAGGAAGCTGCCGG